GTCTTATATTTATCTATATGTATTAATTTCATCATAAATTGACAAAAAAAAACCCGCCTTCTGCAGTACCCCTGCAGAACTGGTCCTGGCCCACTATACTAAAGACATACTAAAAAAAAATAAATCTAATGATGTGCACTGGAACGACATAGTGACTGTTGGGTTCTTTTAATCCATTTTTTTTTTATTTACAATACTGTTTTGATTATGATCTAAAAATTAGGTTGATAGCTTCAGTTGTATTGAGGATGATGGTTTATCTGCTCATTGTTTTTCTGAACCCAATTAAAAAAAATACTAATTTGTTACAGCTGAATTTTTCAATTTTACTTAAGCTCTAATTCTTATTTGGTTAATACTGGTAATTTTCATTTATAATTAGTCAAAACTAAATAATAGTCCTGAATTATGAATGCTCAGGCTACCCATAATGGCTACCCAGCTTTCTGGAACTTAGAATTCAGGATATGCAGATATTTACCCCAGAATGTATTCTTAGTTCTCAATTATCCTAGTTTCTGAAATGGGGCCCATGAAAACTGCACTAACTTAACTAATGTTTAAGTATTGTTAGTGTATCTCAATGTTCCTTCATGGTGTTAAATAACATCTTGATGACCCCGTTTTTTCTCAGGCACGCTCTGATTAAACGTCGCTTTAATTAAACTTATCACCAGAATGATTGATAATTAGGAGGGCCAATTATTTAGATGATCCACCCAGAAGTAAAAGATCGTCCTCTGTACCTTTAAGCTTTGGGGCAAATTAACAAAAAAATTATCTTTTAAAACTTGGTGCACCAGAAAGCACTTTAAGTGTTTTATTTTGCTCCTCTTTCTCTTATGTTTTGTTACATTACATTTGTATTTAAAATTACTTTCCAAATTAAAATTGAAAGGCTATTCTGGTAAGAAAAAATGAAGTTTATTTATTTGAGATGCTAAAATCGCATTGGGGGTCAATTTTACGTTTAATGGCTAAAATTGATAAATTTGACCCTTAAACATTGATCATCTTAGTTCTAGATAACTCATGTATGTTTGAAATATTTATGATTTATAGGAAGAACTCACACACAACTAAACACATTAGTTGGATATAATCATTTGTATGCTTGATATGGTGATTAATCGATCTTCCGTCAAGGTGAATTTTGGGTGATCTTCCGTCAAGGTGAATTTTAAAAAATATTTTTTTTTAAATCGAAATGTATTTTACAGAATCATTACAGAACGAATGTATCGTTGCAGAAATATAAACTAAAGACCAAAAACCTTTAACTCGTATTCAGGGTTAAAGATAAAGCATTATTCCAGTTTAAATTCAAAATTATGCTGAATTAGAAGACAAACATAAATGGTACAGTTTATTTAGTATTTATTTGTTTTGAATTGTAGACCTTTTCTCTTTTCTAATTTTTTTTAGGACTTCCTTTGGGGCTACAGCACCACCATTTCTTGACTACCTGAAAGATATTCTCCGTCGATATCCAGATGGTGGACAAATTTTGAAGGTCTTTTTGATTCTTAAATTCTGTTGTAGCTCATGTTTGAGGCATGGAGCCTCTGGACAAGTGTTATGGACTTCTAGAATTTCCCTTATGATGGTTCATCAGATCTTGTGTCATATCTTTGGGTTTTTACGTGCATAATGATTTCCTTTTAGACGTTTGTTTCATGAAAAATGTGTACTGAAAACGAGAGTTTACTCAACCTCTGTCTCTGTTACCATGGTAACATTTTCCCTCAACCTGACCCAGTCAGGAGCAAGGGCATGTCATGTTTGTGTTTTTGACATGAGCATCCAATGGATGATGGAGTGGCATTAATTTACAGAGAGTTAAATATTTGTCAGGAGAGGCATCTCTGTCCATTTATAGATGTCCTTTCATAGTCAGAAAGTTATCTTTGTGAGCGCTACCGTGTCACTTCACAATCCATCACATACTCTACATGGACAACTGTGTCCAACCTCACATTTTCAGCATTACACAGACTTCTTTAACAGGTATTTAACAGAACTTGATATCAGTGAGAGCACATCGATATGCGATAACAGCTTTATAGGAAACAACAGCACAGTCAAACAGTTTCTTATTATTTAGTTTGTAATGTAAGACAATCCAAAGGAGGAGGAACCCCATGAGATGATGCACAGCCACTATCTGTTTGAACGTTTTTATACTACATCTTCACCTGCTGACAGGTGCCCTCTACCATGGGATTGCCCCTAAATAAAGAAAAAAGATCCAGTACCATTCAATCAGTAAATTAGTTTTCATCTGTGATATAATCCTGATTAGAGCAGAACATGGCAGGCCATATTTGACATTCATTATTTTGACTGAATATGTATGTATGCATTTTCTGTCAAGATGATAGATGTCAAAATGGCCACTTAAATTGGGTAAACATTTCAAGGTATCTGAAACTTAGTTTGTAATTGTTAATTTTTTTTTTTCTTTTCCCTTTTTGTTGGCAAAAACTTCATTAAGGAAATCTGTTATTACAGTTCTAAATAGGAATGGGACTTCGACCAGGAAGAATCCTGTTATCAACAAACAGAACAAAAAGGCCTTCCATTACAAACTCAATAAAAACATATTGATTAACTCGGGCAGCAATCTTCTCCTACTCAATCTCCCTCTCCTTTGCTGTTTGTTTTAGAAATATTTTCTTACTCTCCATAAACCTGCATTAGAATCTCTGGTTCCAGTAGTTTAAAATAGGCAGACTCTCCCTAGTCTGTTGTCATGGTGACTCATCAAATTGTTTTTCCATTTATGAGAGCTTTTTGTAGCTGTTGTTTACTCCTTTAGCCTACTCAGATTTGATTGAAATAAGTCACACCAGACATTGTCAAAATGACAATAACCAATCTCAGATTAGATCAATGTACAGTCACAGAGATGATTCTGATCTTGTTGAAACTGCTTTGTGAAACGGACCCCAGCACTCGAAGCTCAATAAAAAACCTCCCAGACAGCCAAACCCAACTTTTATCTAAATGGATTATGAAATGTATGACTGACATGAAAAGGAATATATCCACTTAAAATTTGTCAGAAGTTGAAGGTCGAAACTTAGAGTTTGAGATGTAGATCTCTGCATTGTATTTGATCTGGACAAACAAAAAGTTGTGATAACCCCTTGACGCCCGAAATTATATAATGTATATATAGATAGGGTATTTGTAATACAAATGGTTGGTTGCATATTTGCAATAATGCGCATCAAGGGTTTACAGCTTTTTACAAATACACATTTTCAACACACAAATACATCCTATTTTGGCTGAACTAATGTGAAATTCTCATAAATTTTAGTTTACAGGGTGGAAAAATCCCCCTTGATTTCCAGAAGCGGTTTTACAAGCTCAAAATAAATATGACTGGAATTTGAACTCATATGGTAAAAGCTTTAAAATGCTAGACAGAACTATAAAAGCTGTTTTTGTTTCAACCATGATGTCGTATGTTGACTACATATCTCTAAGAGCCATACTGGAAAGATTTTATTGTTTGATATTTAAAATTGTAGGGAAATTGTAGGAGTTTTTCTACACTATCCCTTTTTAACAGTTTCTCAATCAATGTCCAGGAGCTAATTCAAAATGCAGATGACGCTCAAGCCACAGAAGTGGTTTTCATCCATGATGAGAGGAACTACAGGACAGAAAGTCTTTGGACTGATGAGCTGAGATATTACCAAGGTATTAAAGTTGATCAACAAGACATGATATATAAATGAATAGAATTCATGAAATTTATATGCATGTTGTTTTAGTTTATATTGAGGTAGTATTTAAAGTTAAAATTTGACTTTGAATGTGTTCAATGTAAATTACAGTTAAATGCAGAGGTAACATTAAAGTCACATGACTATTCTCGTGTAAAAAACAAAACAATAGCTATATTTACGTGGACCTAAGTAGTTGGAATAAACTGCTGATGTAAATAAAATTGCGTCATGGAAACACACAGGTTTGAATATTCTAATCCAATTCAGCAGGATTTGAATAAAAATTTTATCAGACATTTTTTTCTAATATTTGATCTGAATACATTTTAATCTAAACATAGCTATCAACTCAGTTCAAAAATAGGAACCAGTCCCCGTTTTGTGCATACACAACCTTTATAAATTACACCCCTGATGTCTAGAAATGCTTTATAAAAAAAATGATGCACAACCTCTGAGCTAAACATTGGCAATTCAAGTTTATGAGAAGAAAAAGAACAGCTGAAAGAGAAACTGAAGTAATAATTTTTTTTGACTAAAGGAATAAGTTTCAAAAGTTAGCACACAGCTTCAGTTTATGCAGCTTGAAACCATAGCTCATGTTTGAAATCTGGCTGAAGTGATGGACTTGGACCTGAACTAGCTGGGCTAAATAAAGACTCATAAAGACATGATTTTATGTGCCTCTATCTTTATTTATATGACATCTTGTCATATAGATAAAGATATAGGCTGACTTTGAAGGTCAGCCTTCTATCATCTAAAAAAACATCTCCGGCATTAAAGGACTAGTGTTTCAGGAGGATCTTGTAAAACTCTTGTGTTCATCTTTAGTGGAATGAATTACTGCGCCGCTGTCATTACAGGTCTGCCTGAAAAGTCAGTCAGATAGCTTGAGCTGATCCAGAATGCTACTACCCGAGTCCCCACTAGAACTAAGAAAGTGGAGCATTTTAACCCCAGTTCTAGCATTGTTATAAACTTTAAAACACTTCTCTTAGTTTATAAGTCACTGAACAGTTTTGCTCAGCAAATCAACTGAATTTAGAATGTAGTTGGAATTTAGCAAAACACAATTTTCAAGTCACACAGGCACTCTATTTCAGTTACATTGCATTTGACAAGTCGATGACACAAAATTTCTCAGTACAGCCNTTCAGTTACATTGCATTTGACAAGTTGGAAGACACAAAATTTCTCAGTACAGCCTTTTAGGTGGCGGCCAAAACACTTAAGATATAAAAAAATTTAAAACAATAAACAAAGTGATATATAAAAGTAACAGTAACAAAAATAATGAAAGATATTAAGACTGTTGGGATCCAGAGGCTTGCCCTCCAGAGGGCGCCGAGGATCCCCTCTTGATTGTCTGTTCATCTGTTGGGATCTGGGGTGCTGTCTACATTCCTCCACCAGAGGGCGTACTGGATCTCCTGAACCTGGAGCTGCCTTCACCAGCTGATTCTCATCTGCTCATCAGGGGACCAGTACTTATGTGGGCTGTGGACAACACCTCGACGCCAGAGTGTTTGTTAATCACGGTACAGCAACCCTGAGCCAACCAGCCTGTCTGATTCTCTGACTCCACTGTAACCAGAACCTGATCAGTTGTGTCTTCTCTGCTTCTAGGAAGAAATCTGACTGTACCCTGGGACTCTGGAGGAGTCTCCTTTGCTGAAATCTGCCTGCCGCATCTCAGGAGCTCTGGAGGAGCTCATCATCAGAAACCTGCCTTCCTGCTCTCGGTAGCCAACCAGGAGATCTATAGTCTGAATCTGCCTGCCTGTTCTCTAGGTGAGAACTTAGAGCAACTCAAGGACTGAGTCTCAGCTAGTCAGAAGCCTAGCCCTGCTGCTGCCTAGCCCTCCGCTAAACCCTCTGCCTCTGGACTCCTCTGGCTTCCTCTCTCAGCCTGAACCACATCAGAGATCCCTGTGAATCCAGCCCCGGACCTGTACCAGTATCAGTACTATCTCTTGGATTGTGTTTCCTAAAAATAAACTGTTGAACTTTTAACCCTGTCTCCGTGGAGTTCTGCGCTTGGGTTTAGCTCCATTAACCCAGCATGACAAAGACAAAGTTAACAACTCAGATTCAAATGAATGCTGAGTCAAAAGTCAAAGACAAGAAATAGGTCCTAAATGGTAAATGGCCTTTACTGATATTGCGCTTTTTCAATTCAGGGGACCTGACCAAAGCACTTTACCCTATATTCAGTCATTCAGCCAGTCACACACACACACAGACAATGGCAAGCTACGCTTTGGCCAAAGCTGCCCTGGGGCTCATTCACAGCAGCGAGGCTGACATACACTAGCGCCACTGGGCACTCTGACCACCATCAGTTGGCAATGTGGGTAGGAGCTCGGACAGCTTGGAGAGGGCAAGGCCATTTAGACCTATAAAAGGATTTTAAAATTAATACAAAAATGTATTGCCAGCCAATGTAAAAGAGGGTTAGATAGGGGAAATATGATATTTTTTGTACAAGTTGAGAGACATGCAGCAGCATTCTGTACCCTTTGAAGCTAGGAAATACATGCTTAAAGTTGGTTTGCTGTCACACAGGTAGGAAGAGATGGTTGCAGCTAGCACGCAAATCCATGCATGATAGTAGAAGTAAGAACTTTTGTCAATTTACGGGTAAATTGTATTTGGTTATTAGGTTACAGTAAGGTCCTGCAACAATTGGCTTTTTTAAGGTCATGAAAAACTGAAATTCTTGAGTGCTTAGTGCAATTAAATAGCAATCGCAATATTG